CCTGAATCCTTTAATAAGCCAGGAGCTCATTTAAGAAAAGGTTGGTTCCCCTCAACAGGCTAATCTGAGCTGGATTTATCCAGGCGTTGTAATATAGTTTTGTCTCCCGAATCTGCTATATACTCTTTAAATTTAAAGTGAAAGAGGGACTGGTTTGCAGAGCTATAAGTTACTGAACCAAATAGCTGGATTAACGTTTGGGTTCTTTCTGTAATTTTAGCATAATAATCCATTGTTCGGATTATTATGAAGCTTCCATTTGCTGGTTATAACTTTTCATCTATGGGTTTATCTGCCTTTTCTATTACCTCGAAGTCACTATGATCCACAACTGATTATAGTACTTCGAATGCTAAAATTTACTTCTACATATGAGTGTTAAGGTCCACAATGCCCCAGTGGCCTTTAATTTCTCAAAAAAGGATAAACAACTTCTTAAAACCCGGCATTTTAAGGTTTCGGGCCTTTTTTAGTTTTCGTAGATAGTTCATCTTTGTCTTTTTTGGGACACAGTTCGACTTTGAATTTTTGTGTTGTTCTTGTGCATTTCTATACTGTTTTTGTTATCACACAGTTCAATATTTCGTTAAAGTTAATTCAACAGTATTATCATTCCGAACTTCCATTTTTAATGCTTTAGGTCTATAATATGGGTGCGACTTAACATGTTCTCTTCTTTTTAGTCTATTGTTACTTTTAGTCAAAGATTGGTGATGAGCAACGCAAATTTTCTTTAGGCAGGACTGATCCTCTTGAGAGGAATTAGAATCTCGTATTTTTAAATTCCTGAGAGCCCTTTTTGATGAAGTACTTGTGAAAAGGGTTAACTTTAACTTCGGATATGTGTAGTTAACTGAATGGAAGTAACCTCACTATTTGCGTATTCAGTTTCAACTTCTTTAATCGTTGTTGTACAATCATTTTACTATATATATTTTTTTCAGGAAATTATATTGATTCCGTCATCTAAGGTCTACTCTTTAACTATTTACTTTCATAACATGGCAGCTCGGCCTGTAAACTTTCCTTGTGCCTTAGTGCATTCTTAAAAGGTTTATCCGGTTTCTCATCATCCTTAATATGGACTCTTTTTCATATTTAAAGGGACGGAAATTGTTAAATTAAATCCCCTTAATAAGTAGGTTGAGGGGTGACAGATCTAGGCTAGTGTTGTGCATATATTTCAACTTTTAGCTGTTGTATAGGATAGGATCACATGGGAAGATATTATCGATAAATATAATTTCCCTAAATCGCAAAGTTTTACCAATTTTTATGGTAATATTTGGTCGCTAGGATTTTTAGGTTTGATAAGTGTACTCCTTTAAGTGCTCTCCTGTATCTTCTTTTTAAACCACAAAACGTAAGAAAGTACTTTCGAAGTTAGCGGCTTTACAGACTTAGTTATCGTTGATTTTAAACCAAATAGTTCATTAGGGTGTATAACGTTGTAGAGATTAAGACTGCGTAATGTGATGCCTCACTACAGTAATTAAGAGGTAGGTTATGATTGTTTAAAATACGGTGAGTCATAATGGAGATGGTTTGAATACTGCTTTTGGTTATCAATGGCATATCCTTAGACACTGGGGACAGACGTACACATTCTTATTGGGAATTCAGGTATAGCCTACTTTTAACGAATTCGCTTCCTTTATCGATCCGGAATTCTTCAATGAGCATAGAAGGTATTGCTCTGTTAGGTTTAAATGTTTATAATAAGTTTATTGTGTTGTTCAATCCAGCGAATTATAATGTGTTTAAATTCATTATTATTTTAGCAAATAGTAGTGTAATATGTCTAGAACTGCCATCAGTGCTTACTACGACGTGCTTAAACCCGTTATATGAAGTTATGTCCCATTGCAGAGTGTCAACGTATATTAGCTGTACTGGCAATCTCTGGTTGTATTACCCTTTTTGCTCACTTTTTGTTTTCTTCATTTTACACTTCAAGCAATCTCTCCGCTTTGATTTTGAAAAGCTGGAAAGCTAGGAAAAAGTCAAGATTCCTATCTGAAAGTTCAATGGTTATGGGTTCGTATGATCGATGGATAAATAAAGCAGAGTAGTTACTATAACTTGTAATGTAAATTACCTAGGCTTCACAACTAGTGACAGCTTGCGCTATAATATAATCACTTTTAAATTAACTCTCCGGTTGTTTACTATAAGAGAATTTAATAAAAATACTACAACGCCCTTGATCCTCGGTTTAATTTACCCTACAAACTCTAAAGCTTAAAGATGCTTATGAATTTTACTAAAACAGGGTATAGGAAAAGAAACCAGCCCAATATTCCCCAGCAGGAAACAAGCTTGTGCGAAATCAGACCTCTCACCATACTATTTGCAATTCCTGGCAAATGTGCCGAGTGAGGAGTAGAACACAAAAATAAATTTGTATACTTTTCCGCCTAAGATGTCCACAATTTCTTAGCATCTGTATGAATACAGGTGTCCAGTAATTTTATTTTTCCATCTTTCAGATTCTTTGGTCCGTTGTAGACCAGGAATACTATTAAGGATGGTCAGCACCTTTTTTTCTAAGAATCTACCATTATCTTTCAATATAATCAAAGTATCCCCCATTTATCTCTTATAAAAACAAGATTATCTTTTAAAGGGAATATAATTTGGTAGATTCATAGTAAGTAACAAATAATGTTGCTATACTAGTCGCTGCCGGGTTCACCATAGAAATTCCGTTCGTTTGAATGTAGCGCTTGTTTCAACGTAGCTAGGGCTTAGGATTAAACGAAGAGCTTCCACAAACAAATCACTAAGAATTGTTCCATAATGCTCCAAAATATATCTTTTAATCACCTTATATGCTAGACAATAATAGTTAACAATAGTTTGTCAATAAAAAAATTGTTTGTAACGTGTTAAACTTTCATGTTTGAGTGCGCAAAGCACAGTTTTACTTTTTAAAGTAGAAAAAGGCGCCATTTATGAAGGCTTAAAACGTTACCGTGCTACAACAATCTTTCTTAATAAGTAAAAAATGCAAGTCTTTCGGTAGGGAGTTTTTAAACATTAAAGTATCCTGTTATTAAACTAAAATGAGTTAATCGTACAAACTATACTGTAGGATGGTCTTAGAGAAGCCCCTTTTTTTAATAATATCTTGTATATAAGTCTTATTCGTCATAGTCATCATAAATAAAGTCATTGCTTCCTGTACTTACAAACTACATTAGGTAGCTCTGAAACGCTCAGCTGCAATGTTATTCAAAAAAAAAAATCTTTCACAAATAGGACTACATTAAAAGGTTTGTTAAAAAATTGTTACTTAAGGAGAGCATTAAAACTTACTAGTAGATTATTAGAGGAAGCTCCAGATTACTAACATCAACTAAAAAACCTTAATAAGATACCCTTTGGGGGTGTCTAACCCAAACGTCTGGCTCTGACGGCAATACTAACCTGGTTTAAAAACAAAAACTAGAGGCTGCTATAAATCACTGTGCTGCCTTGTCAACTCGGAGTTGTCCTTCAGCTATTTTCCCGGGCGATAGAAAATGACTGTAGTCATGATTTTACCGAAGACATCGCAAAACTGGCATCAAAGCCTCGCAACTACCCATCAGCCTTATGATGGCGGTTGGTAAGGTAGCTGAAGCTAGTAATACGAATAGTTTGACGGCGGTTCTGGATGCTGGGGGAATTTAACCAGAGTTTCATTTTGGGATTTCGCAAGAAATACTCAACCACCTAACAAATTCTTTGTTCAACCAAGTGCACAACTAAAGCCTTGAATTTTAAAAAAAGTTACAGGCGCGTTCTTTCTCGATGTTAATAAGGCTTTTGACCGAGTATGACATGGAGGCCTGTTAAGCAAGCTACATGTTCAAGCAAAACCGCGCAGCCTTCTAGAAGTTCTCACGTCGTACCAAAGCGTACGGTTCTTCAAGGCGCGAGTAGATGCTGCACTGTTGTCGCCTCGCTATCTCACAGCGGGAGCCCCGCAAGACTCTCTTCTATTACCACTGCTATTCGCAATCTATACGAGCAACAATCCTCTGCCAGTCCGCCCTCACACGCGGGTTACAATTTACGCCGATGATATGATGGTTTACTCGTGCTCAACCGTTTACTATATCAACACCTACAATTTTATTTCCACACGCTTGCCAGCTGGTGTCGCCAATAGAACCGCTCCATTGACACAACGGAAATGGACACGCTAGTCGCCTCTTAGCGAACTCATTTACAAATTGTGGGTCCACGCACTCTTATCATGACGGTTGAAAGCTAAGTTGGGGAGGGGGGGAAGCACATGCCAAGATACTAATTTTACTTGCACTCGTGGACGATTAAAAACCTGTTTGAGAACTCGTGTATTCGAAGTTGTTAACCGGATAGAGTACCAGGGGACGCCATTAATATAAAAGCAAAAGAACAGAAGTATGATAGGAGAGCAGCAGAAACCCCGGTTAGTTTGTTTAATGATACTAGTGGCATAAAAAAACTTTATACATACGCTTTATATGTCTAGCCTGTAGCAAAAAATCATTCAGGTTCACTTAGAAGTTTATGATAAGAACTTACTTGGTGGCTAATTATTCCATAAATAGAGGAACAACTGCAAGAGTTTATATATTAAGTCCTTAAAGAGTACTTCCACTAGCTAATGAGCACTCTTTAGCTGGTGGGAGGCCGAATAAATTTTAAGTAGACATGGTTCTCATGGGTATGCGAATTTTAAATTATAAACTAAGCCTTTATGAAAGTTATTCAAAGAATAAGCATAAATGAGCTAACGGCAATAATATATGGTTGCATGCCATATAAATAAAAAAATTTCCAATGTTAATCTTTAGTTACAAGCGTTATAAAAACTTATTAACCAAAGGAATGATAAGTAAAATTCATATCCACCTTTTCAAGTTTTTGAGTACTTTTTTTTAAATATACTTGTATTTTTTAATATTTTTTCCTTTAAAGGGGTGTAGAATTACGAAAATCCAAATTTGGCGACAACGTTTTTATTATATAATTATTAAGGACTGAAAAAACGGTTTATTTCTATGCGCAGACTTTGAATGGAGTACTTAGCATACTTCGAAAAGTTAACCTGTTGGTCATTCTCGGAAGTTAAAGTGCGGAACTTTTTGTAGGGGGGAATTATTAAATCTTTTGTATATCAATTTAAAAAGGTTGCTTGAGCAATGCATCAACTTTAACTTGAAAAATAAAAATTTATATTAATAAAGTGAAACCTTGAACAGCTTCACTCAATTGTGCACGGACATCCGGATCGGGGAATGCGTATGACTGCGCTCCCAAAGATATTTACTTATTAACAGGCATAGGAGAGTGCTTAACCTTGTGTTTGTTTCTTATAGCTTCAAACTCTGAATTGAAACCCTAAAGTAGAGTTTCTAAATATTCACCGCACAAAAGAGTAAACTTCTTAGCTCCCTGTAATACTGACCTTGTAGCACGCCTTAATCTGATCTTTTTGATGTTTAAGAGATTTTGCTTCGGGCTTGAAGTCAATAAAACTAAGTAACTTTGAATAGCTTTATATAAAAAAAGTTTGACGAATAAAAACCCAATCCTTGCTTTAAATGTGGACATACGTCTCTTTATAAAAATCGAATCTTTTCAGGATATCCTGTTGGAGTAGATCGTAAAAATCCTGCAAAAGTGTTTTACTTCCGAGCTGCTCGCGTATACCTCCGGTTACAATCGCCTTGTGCAAAGTGTGTTTTAGAAAAATTACAGGAGAGCTGCCAGTTTGGACGCGCTACCTTCTGGATGTAGTTGAAATTATTAATTAAAAATATATGATTTATTGCATCGTCGCCCGCTTTCTGAGAGCAGTAGTCCGCAAGAAGGAAGAGCTGTGACCTTAATTCATTTACAAGCACCTCTGCAACGCTTAAACGAACTGCACTGAAAAGGAAATCTCCCGAAATACCAACCCACAAGCTCCGAAAGTTTATTTTCAGACTCATCAGTGACTCTGTTGAATCGATGCACAAAACTTTCTAGCGCGCTTTTGTACTCTAGAAGTCTCGGTATGAACGATAAGACCTATTCGGTATAGAGAAAAAATTGCTTAACTCTCCCATATCTTTCACATGCTTACTTTAACTGTAAGAGAGTGGACGGTTCCGTCAGAGACAGGTTTGTGGGTTCCTTTCTAACCACGAAACGATGTTAGTAATAATAATAAAAAGTTTCAAAGTTATATGGAACCTTGACCTCCGCAAAATATTCGTGGAGATACCTCAAACAAGTGGTGGTGTACGTCTCAATGAGTCTGTCTATTTGATTGTAGCTCTGTTTTACTCTCTATTTTTTTTTCAAGTCGTTCTAAATAAAGAAAAAAAAATTTTAAGTAAACGACCTCTTTTATAAAGTCGAACGACGGACTTTTAAGCTGTGAAACAACATCTAGAAGAGGTAAAAAAAGAAAGAATTCTTTTCTTTCCATGTCTCCATTGGCCATCCTAACCAGAAACTCGCCGGTGTTTACAAATACCTTAAAGTAGAAGAGAATAAACTAGTATTTGCTCTTCTACGTAAAAGCGTACTTCCAGTGCCTGTGAAAGCGCGCCCTCAAAAGATCCTTTACGCGGGCCCATAATGCGCAGCCACTGGTCGTGTTCTTGCTAATAAACTCGTATGGTTTTTCAATGGCTCATAGACAATGCTTAAAAAATACCACTATCATGTGAGAGAAGATGGAAATGAGCATCACAAATGGGTGGCTCCCTTTCTCATAAAGTTTAGAGGATTCAAATTCAAAAAAAATAATACTTTTCCTTAATTTTCAAAAAAAAGTTAAATAAATAAAAAAATATAAAAGTAGTCGGACTTTTTTGCTTTATCATCTTTCTTTGCTTTATCTGCGGAAGCGCTTGAATGCTCAGAGCCGCCTCTGGAGATGGTTAGCAAAGTGTAGACCAGCGCGTCCGACCGGGATTTCTCATAAACTGTGCAGTGTTCCGTATCGTTGGCTGCAGCGAAAACGAGGTAGTTAGCGAGTCTTTACCAAAATGCCTGGCAAGTGCGACCCTTCTCATGAAGAAATTCAGACATCTGATGAAGCTCTTCAGCTACACTTTCCGGGATGCGCAAAGTAGAAAGGCTTTCAAGTTCGGCTTCAAGGCCTGCTTCTGGTGGAGGCAAGTTGACCGAAAAACTGCTGCTTTTGCAAAGGGTTTTAAAAGCTCTTTGAACCCCCAGAAGGCCGGCAGCACATAGTGAATTCTATAAAAAAAAATCAATATCGTGAAAGTAGCAAGTGTTTTTCTCCTATAAGCACTTTTACCAGGAGGGAAAGGGATTCTTCAGCGCTTTTCAGTGGGTGATCTTCAAAATACCGCCGGGAATTTAGAGCTTTTTCCAAGCTTTTAAGGAAAAGTTCGGAGTCTGCAGTGCAAACATTTCCAAAAAGGCGCAAGTGGCTGTTTTCTCAAAAAAGGAGGAAACCATTGGTGAAACGGTGGGGATCCTTTAATATGTCTTTAGTTTCGTTGTAAACAGAAAAGTGGGAGAGCAGCTTAGCGAAGGCTCTGTCCGCCTCTTCAAGATCTAATGAAAGCAAATGAAAACTGAGCACTGACTTTCAAATTGGCGCGTAGTGATTAGGTTTATGAAAGGTGGTTGAAGAGTATTTTAAATTGCTCAACTTCTTATAGTCGTCGACATTGTGTGGGCTTCGAGGTAGAGCGAGCCTGAGGCCGGCTCCAGGTTGGTCAACCGCTTTTCAAAGGCATCGAAAACTTTAAGCTGAAATTATAAAATAGTAAATTAACAAAAATCTTCAAGATTAAATATGCTCAACCATTCCAGAGATTTTTTCTTGAGCTAAATTAAGATTTAAAGTTAACTGTTCCACCTTACGGGAGTCGTAGAGAAGTTTAGAAGTAACCTTCTTCTTCATGTCGTACAGCTGCTCGGGAGATATTGTATAATTAATATCAGCTTTATTAATAAATTATTGTATGGCTTATTAATGAGGTAAAGACTTTTTCAAATTGAACGTTAAAATCGTGTTCAAGTTTTATATCAACGTCACCAGCCAATCTTCGTCTTAATTGCCTATTTAAAATTCAAGTAAATTATTGTTTTAATTTTTAATGGGACTTAAATTTAATTAAAATAGTGCTATTACGACGGCCACAGGATAAAAAAAAAGTTATAAGCCTTGAAGAATTTATATCAAAATTTTATATGAAAAGCTACCTATTTTTTTGTTCGCGCATACTTTTCAATATATTTTCCCTACCCTCCTTTAAGTATAAAGAAGATCTAAAAAAAATAGTAGGTCTTCGAAAAGCCGTGGGATTGCCATCGGCTTTGAATCTAGAGTTAAAATAAATCTCTTTAAACTGATGGAAAAATATATGTGTTTATAAAAACTTTTCTTTCATGCTCCAAATTATGAAATGTAGGCTCTTTATCGGACAGCCCCGAACGAAAGTAAATAGCCCCAAAAGTTAGGTAAGCCCAGTGTATAAAGTGGCTCTCCTTTGATAAGCCTTATTGATCTTGAAGCTTTATACTATTGGCCGCATTAACCTCCAAACACTCAAAGGGAGGGGGGGGTGCTTAAAGAAGGAAACCCCGAAAGCTTGACTGTTCAAAAATTATCGAGTTTTAAACAAAGCATTAACGGTCCCTATAAGAAAAATAAAAAATCACTCCATGTCAAAAGTATTAAGAGCTTTATAATAACTTTCTGTATATTATATAGCTAGGTGAAATATTTGCAAAAGTTGGTAGTATAATGTTAAAACAAAAAAAAAAATCAGTGGAAAAATCATTTGAGCGACTTCGTGGAGGTGTCTAACGACGAACAGGAATCGCAGCCATGCGCCACGATCGCTCTCAGCAATTTCATATAAAAACCGTGAGGTTAAGGAAACACTATTTCTAAAAGGCGGCGTTCATTCACGCGCTGCCTTATTAGGTAGCTATTTACATTCCAGCAAGGGTATTTAACAACTCAACCACAGAGTGGAGGACCTAGATCTTCAACTTTTAGAGGGCAACGGGTAATGACTAAACTTTAAGATTAAAAATAAAAAATAAAGTATAAGCTTAAAAATTACATTTCTTTTTATTTAAAAAATTAAGAAATTTAATAATGATAGGAAAGTTATATTATATTAAAAAATAAATTAAATGAAGGTTACTCTAACTATATGATAATCAATCCAGCGTGGTCTATAAAGCATGCTCAACTCATATTTAAGTGACTGCGTTTTCAGAGTACGAATAGGCTCTTTTCATAACTGGAAAACGAAAAAATCTGTCGAAGCCGGTAAGCTATAGAGGGAGTTAAATCGGTAGCGCCCCAGACGTATTTTCATGTCGTGAAACCTTTGTTGCGCGCCAAGAGAAGACTGTAATTATAAATACATTCGGGCTAGCATTACACACCCTTCGCTATAGAGGTGTATGGTTCGAGCCTCGTCGCTCCAAAAGCGGTATGATTTGTAAGGTACGATACTCTCCACCGCCGCTTCCAACTAGAATCGCTGAAAATTTCTTTAAATATATTGCCATTGCCATTCACTACAAGTAGTCGGGCACGATAATCCTTCTTTGTCGAAACACTCAGCTACGACTTATGAAGCCGGGCACGAGATCGCCGTTAGCGTGACGCGCTTTGAGCAGGGTTTGTTTTACGCTACAAAGTTGCACTGCCAGTTAAAAACCTAGAAAAGTACGAGATGTAGGCAAAATCTTTACACTCAGGAAACTTAAAAAGGTTCTAATGTCAAAGCCTAACAGGTTTTGACACATAAATTCATCATACCATATGATGAGTTGTCGTGGTAGCTCAGTGGTAAGCTCGAAGTCGTGGGATCAACTCTCACCGACGCGACACTCATTTTCGGTCTCTGCTGGTTCCGTATTCAATTTGCCCAGTCGACCATGCTGCTGAGATCATACCTATATGAATGTGGCCTGCACATTTGCTATAAATATTTAATTTATTTACATAGCGCTTTGCTTAAAATATACCTATATATATTAGATTACTTAGACTATGAAAATTAAAAATACTGGTTATACAATACAAACCTTAAATGTATCTAAATTTTATATTAATTTTTTTTCTTTTTTTTTCCTTTTTTTTTTTTTTTATAAAACATATAATTTCCTCCATATTAATTATGAGCTCCTCTCTGAATTTGAACTTAGAGCATTTATTACTAACTTATTTCTATAATTAAGGAACTCAGAAAAGAGTTATAATCTACTAAGGTAAAACATTGAAGTTACTAAAACTACCTAAAATAAAAATAACTCTGAAAAAGTCGAAAGAAACCTTCTAATAGTATAACTAACAATTATTATAAGGTATATTTGGCCTTATAAATTTTAGATCAAAAAAATACTATTAGAAGAGAGGGAGGCCTAAAGGTTTAGACGAACCTATTCACACTGATATTTAAATAATAGTAGAAGTAGTAGCATTGATCTTATAACTAATAATTCCCATAATAATCTCATTATCAAAAATTTAATTGTTAGCTACCAAAAAAAAAGGTAATAATAAAAATAATACATGCAGTAATAAAAATCAGATTTTAGTAGTAATACTAATAGTATAAGATGATTCTTATTATAAAAATAATAATAGCTCCAATAAGGGTATCGACAACTTGAATGTCACTAAAGACTCAGAGAAGCCCTCAAGAGCTTTACAAAACACCATTGACATAGATTCAGACACTACCCCTATTACTAATGAACAACCATCTACTGCGGCCACCATCCTGCGAACAGGTAAAGAGAGAATCCCATCCAAAACCCTCGGGGAAAAACCAAAGTGGCTCCATCTTTTACAACTTTTGCAGCAAGCCCAAGGTCAAGAGATACACGTCTTAAAATTATATATTTCCGACGACCGCTGAAGATTACCGCGCTCTCACAGGGATACTGCGCAATCAAGAATTTCACCATTTCAACTACCATTTACTATTATCGAGGCGGACCAGGGCGCGCAAGGCATTACACCCCTCCGAGCAGTACGGATGCAAACGGGCCACTGTTAAAGCTGATTGGAAGAAGTGTCCTTTGCGATAAGCGCAGTACATAAACCCCGACCGATGACAAAAGCTATCAGGATTGAAGACAACGCCCATGTTTGAATCGAAATATAACAACTTTAAGAAAGAAATCGCTTTGGCCAGTGCCACCGCTGCTACATCCTTTAGTACACTGCAAGCTTTTGCGCTGCCTAACCTTTGCGTTAAATGCGGTAAGAACCATTTGAGCGCGGAGTATACCTAAACACCAGACTTGCCAGTTAAATGGGCGAATTGCGGTGAGGTTCATACATCTACCAGGGCTGAGATGTTACAGGCGGGGGCTTTTAACAGCCGACCAATTCCCGCCTGAGAGATAGGTCGCACCAAGTGCCTCCCGCGAATAATCTTAATCGCATTAATAATGCAGACTCATTTACTAAACAAGAAGAACAGTGGAATCGCAATTTAACTTTTACGACAATCCTTAGCTACTATGACGATGACAATTCTTTCGACCATACTCGATACAATGAAAGGATTAAAGTTTGTTTGCAATGGCTTATAAATTTTAAACGCTTAATCACATCGGATTTTTGTTTTTAAAAACGAAGGGCGCCCAGAAAAAAAAAACATGAGTTGCAGGAGTTAATGCAACGCGAAAGAATAGACATGTTTCGTCATCGAAACATAGCTCTCTCTAAATGTACCATCTAACATCTTACTTTGCGATAACTCTCCAGGATCGGTTGTACACTAGGGTAGAGGAAAAGCTATTCTTATCAAACATAGCATTATCAGTGCTGCAAGGGATTAAGGCAGTTGGCATTACCCCCAAATTTACTAGAGCTGCAAAGGGACCCATGGCTGTAATTCAATCTATGAACCGCCAAGCCGACCATTCACGGTGTTCGATCTTAACTCTCTCCGAAAATTCAATGCGTTAACTCTAAACATTCTGCGTGGAAGAGTCTGTGGCAAAACGACACGGCTATATCCTTAAGGCTTACGCTGAGGGACGCAGGTTAAGAGTCCTAGGAACACAGTCGCCAACACAAATGGCGAGGAAAACGGGCAAAATGGACGTGCAAGATATCACCGCGTTTAATAATATTTGCCTTCCTAGGTTATTAAGCGTTGAATGAATTGTGGTTAAAGCATATTTCTGTCCTGCTCGAAATGGGCTACGAAAAAGAAGCAATTATGGCCTCCCCCCGCTCTTATACGAATTGGAAAAATGCACCGAATTGCTCGAGAATGGCCATCGTTTAAGACACCATTAGAAACTCTCGCTAAACTTACAGTACTGCTGTCGAATTTGAGCGCGCGGTGGCAGAGGCTTACAGAGAAGCAACGACGACACGTGAAAAAGTTGTATACCTCCCTAAACGCCTATCTGAGGAAGTAATGGCATTAATATGCAAGCAGCGGCTGCTCTTCCTAGTAGTCATGAACTCTTAAAGCGTATAAGACAAACTATTACTAAACCACCTTCACGGCACAACAGGAAAAAATGAAGTGTCGGAAGCTGGTGACATAGGACTAGCCGGAAGTGATGAAGACAAAGTAAACTTTTTCCTAGTCGTTTAGCTGCCTATTGTTGTCGACTACTTCTTTAACCGTCGATATCGCTTCGTTTGTGCCTATTTTTTTCTCAACTGTTACAACGGATTTTCTGAAGCTGTCTACCACAGATGAGACCAAATCTATTGTCATACTGTTTCCAAAGCGAAAGGGGCCCGTCCCTGACGACAGTACTAACCTGGTTTAAAAACAAAAATTAGAGGCTGCTATAAATCACTGTGCTGCCTTGTCAACTCGGAGTTGTCCTTCAGCTATTTTCCCGGGCGATAGAAAATGACTGTAGTCATGATTTTACCAAAGACATCGCAAAACTGGCATCAAAGCCTCGCAACTACCCATCAGCCTTATGATGGCGGTTGGTAAGGTAGCTGAAGCTAGTAATACGAATAGTTTGACGGCGGTTCTGGATGCTGGGGGAATTTAACCAGAGTTTCATTTTGGGATTTCGCAAGAAATACTCAACCACCTAACAAATTCTTTGTTCAACCAAGTGCACAACTAAAGCCTTGAATTTTAAAAAAAGTTACAGGCGCGTTCTTTCTCGATGTTAATAAGGCTTTTGACCGAGTATGACATGGAGGCCTGTTAAGCAAGCTACATGTCCAAGCAAAACCGCGCAGCCTTCTAGAAGTTCTCACGTCGTACCAAAGCGTACGGTTCTTCAAGGCGCGAGTAGATGCTGCACTGTTGTCGCCTCGCTATCTCACAGCGGGAGCCCCGCAAGACTCTCTTCTATTACCACTGCTATTCGCAATCTATACGAGCAACAATCCTCTGCCAGTCCGCCCTCACACGCGGGTTACAATTTACGCCGATGATATGATGGTTTATTCGTGCTCAACCGTTTACTATATCAACACCTACAATTTTATTTCCACACGCTTGCCAGCTGGTGTCGCCAATAGAACCGCTCCATTAACGCAGCAAAGAGCTAGGCACTTCTTATAACGAAGAAACGCCATGCTCTGC